ATTTTTTAATGTAAGTCGAACCCACCGACATGCCCTCTACAGAAAGCCCCTGTATGAATAGTGCCCTATACTTGGGCATTATTCAAAAAGAAGGCAGTCATTTGGTTGTATTTGAAAATAAAATATCAATATAATTCAAGGATGGTTAGAAAAGGTAATCTGTGTGCTAGGTTAGGAGAGGCCGAGAAACCAAGCGACGATTTTATGCAAAAAAAAATGTATAGACCCGCCAGTCTTTCTTGATCGATTGTCCCATGCCATGTCGTTGTTGTTGGTCTTTTGTTGCTTCATCAATTTTCTACCTACTGCCTCACCGGAACGTTGAGACGTGTCTTTAGACTTGTACCTAGCATCTCCTCCTACCTTTTATAGTCATTGCATATCTCTAATTTTTGTGTCGCATTCCACCGATCGTATGATAGGTAACATACCACTAACTATATATTCCGGCATTTACATTTTCTACCTATGGGTCCACGCTCAACTACATTTTCTAGCTTGTAATTAGTTTCTATAAAAGAAGAATGTATAAAGAATTAATTGCTCTGTACTGATGTGATCTCTATAGTTAATGTAAAATTAAGTGAAAAAATTACGGACCCAATAACTAAATATTTAATAAGACAGCAAGTTGAGAGTTCATCAAGAGTGATTGTGTTCAAATCGATAAAATAATCAAGAGTTTCCATGATGACAACAAAACATATTTGACTCGGGATCCCAAGATCTAAGTTCAATGGGACAATTGAACTCTAGAAAACTCATTACGTACTGGGGAGATTTATTACTCATAACCATTCTATATCTTGATTTGTTTAAGTGGAATATAGTTGAATATTCTTTATAAATATCATCTATGCGGGTAAGAAAGATCCGTTTCTATGAGAATTATGTGAAAGTGAATTCTCTAAATATATACTCATGAATCAGGAGGCATCAAAGGCCAAAATGGACACAAACATGATAATCAATTGTGTTCGAAGGGAACTGAGTGAGTTTCATGGTCTAGGTTTACACAAATTGCTTACTATTCAAAGCATCTTGCTATTGATTGGTTAGATAAATTTGATAGATTTTTATTAGAGAAGGTTCAAAGTCTCTAACTACTTATCTCGATACAGTTCTTTACACTTGTACTCGAAATTCGTATTTACTATTGCATTGCTTTGAAAGAGTCGTTATATTTTATTAATGTGGGAGATTGTAGAATATAATTTTATATTAAGCTAATTAGAGCTTAGTTTTATGTAGACCCAAACTTCAAAATTAACGAGATCAACCACATTCATGTTCTACTATGCGAGATGTTTAACATGAAATAAATTATTTGTTGAAAACTAGTAAAATTTGAATGAAATATTTGATTTCTAACTCACCCACTTCAAACTTTTAATAAGTGAGAATTGATTGTATTATTAACTCTTGTCCCACATAGGAAACATTTAGAAAATATTGTTTGGTTTATATGGTAAAAGTTTGGCGCATGAACCTCATTCTATAGGGTTTGATCCAAAGCCTGCATGCGCACCACTGCTGCCATCCTGTTTGGCTTGGCATGACTCTAACACTGGCTTGGATTCGAGACTGAGTGTTGGATTTGGGTGCGAGTATAGAACTATTTTATTTTATCTTTTTTTTTTTTTAATTTTCTAGGTCAAATTATAATTAATTAAATTTTTGGATACTTAATGAAATTATTTTTAACCGTCTTCTGAATTCCAATCTTTGGATGTTTCTACGAATATGTTTTGGATTAATTGACATTTGTTTTGGGTAATCGATGTCTACGACATTCTGTAATTGACATATGCGATCGATCGTAACAAATGCTTGTTTTCATTCTGGACAGACATCTCTATTCGTTTGAAAGGCTATCTAGACAATTACCATTATTTTGAAGAGGCTGTACGCTGTAAATTATTCGAATGACAATGAATAAATCTATAAATAGCATGACTTGTTTGCAAGAAAAAATATAAAATTTTACAAATAGCATGCCAAAATTCATGCACTGAATATCACGTTCCTCTCTAAATTATGATACTATTTTTTAGTATGAAAATAATATATTGAGTTCATTTAAACTTTTACCGATTGCTGTACTATTTTCATAAGAAATGAAATTCGATTTATCCTAAAAGATGATTGTTAATTGTCTTTAAGTACCATAGAAAGGAGCAAATCCGTCTTAAGAATACATCATGAAGTTGGTACGCTTTGAACTACAATATTGTTTGTGAAGAAAGAGAATTTTTTTTAATTATATTTTTCGTTCATTTTCCAATTGTTTTAATTGGGATTCATTTGCACTTTTTGAAAATTTTGAATCTATGATTGCAATTAATGCTTTATTTTTTCTTTTTATTTTTTAAATAGAATGGTAAATTTATCATTACAAGGTAAAAGGTTATGATTATTTTGCATAAAAAGGTTATTATTATAAATATAAAAGTCATTTTTTAATCTAATTTTGCGTTTCTGTCTTTCATGTTTTCTAGCTACACTGGGAGTGACAGATATATTTGACAGATTTTGGAGGACAGGCCAATGTGGCGCCTCCTATTGAAGGGTCGCTTGACGCCCCAAAAATGTATATGGTTGGTGATACTATTTTTATTGTGATTATAATTGTAATTATTGCATAGATAAAAACAAAATTTTGAATATTATATTGAAGGTTTGACTTAGAAACTAACCAACCCCATATTCACGTGTCCACTTCCCAATTTATTCTAACTTGGAGGCATTTATTTTAGTCAACATTTTCCCTCTTTCATGCTTATTATTCCTTCTTTAAATCATCATAAGTCAATTTACCGTATGTTTCACATTTGTGCCTTCACACTTTTCTTTAGTTTGTACAATGAGTTACTATACAAATGTTTAAAATATATCGATTGTCATCGTTTAAATATAAGAATTAAGTGTGAAAACTTGACCAACTCAATTTTTAATAAAGATGACTTGAAATTTATGCCATAGATGTTATGGTTTTTTTTTTCTCCCTCTTCCCTTCCCATTCCCATCCCCGTTTTCAATCTTTCGTGTATCAGTATCTAGTATAAACATTATACGTACAAATCACAAGCCCCTCGTCCATTAGCTTTAATTACTAACAAACATAAAAGCAGGCTTTGTACAAAAATTAGAAAAGAAAAAAAAAATCTTTTTCATCTTAAAAATAAATAAATTATATTTTAAAAGATTGATCTAGACGTTTTGACCATACTATTGAGTTTTGAGTGTTAACTTTGAATTTTTTCAATAATCCATCGGAAAAAGTCCATTTTCTAGCCTGATGAGGAAGTAACACACTCGAGGATAAATTTTATTTGAAGTCACTGAACATTCCACAAAATCTCAATTGGATCATTGAATTTCAATTCATTTAAATTGAGTTCAAATTTAATTTCAAAATTCAAAACTCTCGCATTTGTTATCTTTTAAATTGATGAGAATTAATTAATTAGTAGTCATATAACAATGAATCCTTCATGTAATTCCTACACGACGTGTTTACTTACCACAAACGATAAGCTGTGAAAGTGTTAAACTAAACAGAATTTCCAAAACCTTCATTTTTAACATTTTCGTTCTTAGGATGCTACATTGCAACTACATTTAAAATTAGAACGGTATAACTATCGACTAAGCAATTTTTCAACTTTGGAAACCATAGATTAGGTAATTAAATGTGATTAAGTGATTAATTAAGAAGTGATTTGAAGTTTATAACGACCTAATTGAGGTTTGGTATACTTCGACCAAAGCTTTAGGGCCCACCCACGCACCCAGCAGCTTTCCCAACTTCCATGCAACTTTTAATTTTCACGCACTGCTGACCCCACCAACCCATCAGGTTTTTTTAAGGAATTGAATAAACTTGAAATTTCAATTCATTTAAATTGAGTTCAAATTTAATTTCAAAATTCAAAACTCTCGCATATGTTATCTTTTAAATTGATGAAAATTAATTAATTAATAGGCATATAACATTGAATCCTTCATGTAATTCCTACATGACGCGTCTACTTACCACAAATGACAAGCCGTAAAAGTGTTAAAATAAAATAAAATACACCTTTTAGCTTTTTAATCTAAACAAAATTTCCAAAACCTTCATTTTTAACATTTCCGTTCTTCGGATGTTACATTGCAACTACATTGAAAATTAGAACGGTATAACTATCGACTAAGCAATTTTTCAACTTTGGAAACCATAGATTAGGTAATTAAATGTGATTAATTAAGAAGTGATTTGAAGTTTATAACGACCTAATTGAGGTTTGGTATACTTCGACCAACGCTTTAGGGTCCACCCACGCACCCATCAGCTTTCCCAACTTCCATGCAACTTTTAATTTTCACGCACTGCTGACCCCACCAACCCATCAGGTTTTGTTAAGGAATTGAATTCATTGTTTGCACCGCTGACCCCACCAACCCACCCACCCCACAAAAATCAAACCATTGACCTACATCCAACCCCATTTAATTTATTGATCTTACAGATTTGCTCAAAGGAAAAATATATTAGATTACCACCTCTCAATTTGCAGTTTCATATTTTCTTCTTCAGGTATTTTTACTTCTATTTGCAATATTATTATTGTCTGAATTTTGTTGAAGTGTACTTTTCTGGGTTCTTTTCTTATGTTGATTAATTATTAAGTTGATCATGCTGTTCTTTGATCCTACATCATGCATTGTTTGATTATTAGTTGTTCAGTTCATTTTCTGGATTCAAACTCTGTATTGCTTTTTCATTTTTTACTCTTGAAGATGGGAAATTTTCTGTCGAAGGTTCATTACTTTTCCCAGCTAGTAATGTTTCTGATTTTGAAGATTTATTCTCTACTTTACACCTATACAATCCAAAAAGTATGTAGATTGAGAGAAAAGACCATGTTCAGTTCAGCGTCAGCAAAGATCGAACTGTAAAATTTAATTAATAATGACTCTGTAAATTTTTAAAAATGATAAATATATATTTGTTCTAACAGGGCCAAAAATTAGAATGAGTAATGATATTTATCATCGCCGTGACAAATCTTATGCAAATCTAACAAAGCTTCCATTACCAGAGTAATGTTATCCCAGTATGTATACCAAGTCAGGGGAAGGAGAGGTCGACTGCAAGACCATACCAGAATTAACATGGCATGATGTGGTTGAAAATATTGGAATCATTGTCTGTTTTGATAGATATCAGATATGTTGTTAAGTTGAACAAACTGGTAAACAACTGAATTATCCATATAGCCGATTCCAAGTTTATTGTAATTGAGGTTTAGCTTCATATTATTGTTGCATGTTTGTTTAAAAAAAAAAAAAATTCAAATTTCTTAAATAACTTACCTTCTTATATTCAGTTTTTAATACGCCAGATTGTCAGTCGACATGTCCATGTTCTGGAGAAGGCCTCAAAATCATCCGGAGAATGATGCTGCAGCACGGGATTCAAAGGTAAAAACGAATCATAAAGCGTCAATTTCCTTTAAGGCCAGCATGAATAAATTGTAAAATTTTAAACTTATATAGTAGCTTAGAATATTTTGGTAAATTAAGCAATGAACCAAACGAAGTTTTGAAAAAGGATTCACTTAACCGACTTCTGATTGACAGTGAGAGGGCTTGTTTATGGCAGACCTTAAAGTATCTGAAACTAAATTGGGATGTTTTTCTTCACAATTTTGAAGCGAATGAACATAAATGCTGGGATTATATGAGAGTCAATACAAAGAAACTAAATTATATATTTTTCACTCAAACAGGTTAGAGAGCTAAGGGAAGGTCTTGGTCCACTATCTGGTCGCAGCTTAAAGTTCTGCACTGATGCATGTCTAAGAAGGTATTTAGAAGCTAGAAATTGGAATGTTGATAAAGCCCACAAAATGTTGGAAGAGACTCTTAAGTGGAGGTCAACCTTCAAGCCAGAAGAAATCCGTTGGGTAAGTAATCTCTCTACTCTCTCTCTCTAACATTTGGAGTATCAATGTGCACAAAATGTTAAACTCAGTGATTGTGTATTGTAGCTCTAATACGAGTCAGAAATGGCGATATACATTTTGGGCTAAATTTCATCAAGTGTTGAGGAAAAATACTCCATCTTTTCATGCCAATAATTTTACAACATATTTGGTTTGCTCGTAGCCTATCCAATCCTCTGTATCACTCTTAGTTCTGTCGAGAAGTTTCGGATATTCACGTACTTCATTATTCGATTGTAAACTCAGGTCTAGAGATGTTACTTTCTTTTTGTAAAGAAAGTGTTAGAAGCAAGCCAACAAAAATCCCACATTTATTGGACAGAGGTCACTTGACCTAATAGGTTAACATTAGAAAGAGAAAGGGAAAAAGATTATTGCTAAATGAAATTATGCTGAGACATAATAAAACTGTCATCTAATAGAATTATATGTCTACGGTGCAATTTGTGTGGTTCTGTAGCAAAATTATGCGTTATTCTGTTCACAGTTGGTTCAAACTAGTAACTTTATCGCAAACACAAATAATTTTTGAATCTTGTTCATTTATTACAAGTTTTATCTGCCATCTAATTTCTCGAATCGATGCCAGCATGAGGTAGCACTCGAAGGTGAAACAGGCAAAGTCTCCAAAGCTAATTTTCACGACCGACTGGGGAGAACTGTCCTTATTATGAGGCCTGGAAAGCAGGTTCGCCTATCGATTTTCTCACTTGAAAGTAATTTATGTAGCAATATGATAAACTGGGCTGGACACACTGAAGCTACAATTTTCATCAACTATACTGGACAAGATACTCTGTACAAAACATTCTTTTGAATGTATTTTATGTTTTTCTTACAGAACTCTGCATCCCCAGAGGGAAATATTCGTCACTTGGTGTATCTAATGGAGAATGCAATCCTAAACCTGCCTGAAGGGCAAGAACAAATGTCATGGCTTATAGACTTCAACGGATGGTCATTGAACACGAACATTCCAATTAAAACAGCTCGAGATATCATTTACATTTTACAGAATCATTATCCAGAGAGACTTGCTATAGTTGTTCTCTATAGCCCACCCAGAATTTTTGAGGCATTTTGGAAGGTCCAACCTCTCATCCTCTAAAAGCTCATTAAATTAAAACTTACTCTAAAGTTTAGCTATGTTACATTTCTGCAGGTTGTAAAATACTTTGTGGATCAGAAGACTTTTCAGAAGATAAAGTTCGTCTACCCAAATAATAAAGATAGCTTGGAGCTAATGAAATCCTTTTTTGACACAGAAAATCTTCCAAGTGAATTTGGGGGAAAAGCTACTCTGACATACGATCATGAGGAGTTTTCAAGATTGATGATCCAAGATGATATTAAAACCGCAAAGTTCTGGGGATTTGATGAGGAAAAGGTGGCGGTTAAAGAGCCAGTGAGCCTTGCACCACCTGCAATCTGAGTGTACAAAAATCTGTTTGGAAATGTATTATTGTGCCTGACCGACCGCACTAAGATATTGGTAAAGAAATAAATTCGTTTTCTTAACATTTATCAGCAGAAAATTTTGCGATTTTCAACACTGGGATGATAGTAATAAGCAATATACGTGAGTTACAGAACTACAGAGTGAAGACTGGTAACAAGTATATTAAAAATTCGCAATTTTAACAAGAGGGTTTTGCCACACGTACACCAACAGCTCGGTGTACAGCCCTCTTCTTGTGAAGGATGCCCGCGATTTTTTTATTGGACACGAGCCCCATCTCTTGTGAGGGGTCTGTACACCCAGCTGTCAAACTCGGTGTGCAAATATCCAAACCCTGAACAGGAATAAGAGAATGCAAAAAGTCACTGTATTTAACAATTAACATGCAAAGGTCATTGCTTGATTTATTTGAGGCAAGCAAATTAAGCATTTTATTGTTTGTAATGTTTCAAAGTGGTTTCCACCACAAGGATATGAATCACTACTCGCAAATAATTTTAATATCAAGCTTTTGTATGGACCTTTTAATTCCAATTCTATCAGATTTTGATAGATTGATCAGGATTTTCGTAATAAAATAATTGACTTAATGCAGTAACCATTTGATTAGGTATAGTAGGGCAAGAGTTCATTTTATCTATATGACTATTTTACCCTCTGCAACTCTAACAAAATGACATGACTGTTCTTCAATGATTTTATACTTGCCTTGCAATGAAGGGTAAAATGATAGATGGCGAGGTGTAATCATATTTGACTTGTCAACTGTTATGGACGTGTAGGGTGTCACATAAATGAGCCCACTTCAACGATAAGAAAAATCAATTATTTGTAAAAAAGAAGTAATCTCAAACAGATGCCAAGAACTAAGGAATAAATTAAATTTCTCTCTAGTCAACGTTTCTTGTCTTCTTTGACGAGAATAGCTGGTATTCACTCGATCTAATATTTCAATCTTCAAAAACTTCTAATTTCACACTTCGTGTCTTTCTTATCTTGCTTTTAAACCAACAAACAAAAAGGTGGCACCATTTTATATTTATAACGAGACCACTTAAAACTTCATGAGAAGTGATGGAACTATACATGGGTAATTATGAATATTATGCATAATTGGGCACTAAGCCATTTCTCCCTATTCAGCATTGCTATCACTTGATCATAGTTAAATTACAAACAAAGCCTTATTTGATTGGTCAAATGAAAATCCTATTTTGCCACTCTATTGATCCTTGCAAAATTTCAAATAGTCTGAATAGCATTTTTGAGGCAATGGACACATCTCAAAATTAAGAATGAAGTGCAAACTCTTTTGTAGCTCAATTTCACAAAATTGAATTATGTAAACAAGATCCACCTCAAAAAGGAAGTGCAAAAGAAAATTATACATAGAGTTTAGCCTAAAAAACCTTAACATTCTGTTTCAGCTGAAAAAAGATAACACGAAAAGGTAATGTTTAGGATGATGATTAAAGTGGAAATTGGGTCAAATAGCCTCTCTCATAATATACTTTGCAAATTTAGCCTTTGACTAGAATAAAAGTATTAAAATAAATCATCTAAATTAAAATTAACAAACTACCTGAATTGCCCTCATTCCAACCAAAGAAATTTCCCCTTTACATTTTCCTTTCCCAAATCCATTTCTCTGTGGAAAAACATTCAAAACCTAAATCCATCTCTTCCCTTACGTACTTCACCAACATTTCTTTTCGGATTAAAATTCGAACCGGAACATCATTTTCCTGGAAGAAAAGAAAATCTGTCAAAACTAAATTCCTACAGATTTTTCAGAATCTTTGCATTCAACTTGTAAGAAACAAAGGCATTGTAGCTAGAAGGAGATCTCGAATCAGGACCCCAAAATGGTGTGCTCGTAAGGGATCAATTTGTGAGAGTTAATTAATACAGGTTGGAAGCGTTGCTCATTTGTATCTATCAATCTCCAAGAATGGTAAAGATCAAATATTCATACTTGATTCATTTATCTGTTTATACTTTGCTCTCTTGCTGAAGAATTATTGGAGAAAGAAAAAAGTTGTAACTCATTGGGAGTTGTGATTTCTGCAATATTGGGTTGTTGGGCAATTTTGTATCTGAGTAACCATTTATATGGAAGCAGCTACTATATTTCTAAATTTATATGGAGGGCTTGGAATTATGCCACGTCTCTTTGTTATAATGATTTATTTCCTAGGTAATTTTTTGTGCAATTTCTCAATACACAAGGTCGAGAGAACGAGGTGATTTTAGACTCTTTAATAGAAATGTCGATTCATAAGATTCTAAAAATTTCATTTTTAATGTATGAATGACCCAGTAAGGTGTTAATAAACTTTGTGACTCGAGTCTTGTTGTATTAAATAAGAATTCCTGTATTTTATGCAAATAAAATTTTTAGATAGTAGCAATTTCTAAAGCCTTTTCTTACTGATATGATTTGTATAGTTACGCCTCACCATCATTTCTTCCCTTTCAAATGACTATTCTTCTATATCTTCTTCCTCTAAATGAGATTAGATATAATTATTCTTCCATTTGGAAAACTACCACCATCTTGAGCAGCTTCGTCGCAAACAACTTCCAATGTGAACAACCAACGTGAATAGCTCATTCAAGGAACCAATTTCTAAGTTGTCTAACCTCAGGCATGAAGGTGTCATCAATTTTCCATTGTCGAAAGATTTTGTGTGAATTTTGTGAAAAATGTTGGCTTCTCAACACGTTAATATTTTGTTATTGTATCCCATTTAGTTGTTTTTTTCTTGAAAGTAAGTCTCCTGTATCTTAACCATCTTTCTAATCCATTCGTGTTGGTTTTTTGGTAGCATTGACACCCCTTGATCAATGGTTAAATTTGAAAAGTTTGTTGCTCTTTGATTCTTTCTTTTTTTACTTTTTGTATGCACTAATGGTTTTTATTGGGTATACGAGTGTTTAGATATAATTTTAAACAAGAACAGGTAGTAAGGATTTATAAGACTAGTGGTTGAATTGGGTATGCATTCATTTATGTGGGTTTGTCTATTTTTTTTCTCATTCAATTAGTTATGCATTAAAGAAGTAATTATTTAATGAAAAATAAGTTTCCTGGATTTTATTGAAGTAATTGATATGTATGTTGAAGGAGATTGAACGTCTTTTCACCCTCACATTCTCCACCTTGAATTTTTTTAAGGTTTTTGGTTAGCCAAAACTATGATTGAATGAATCAATGCAATTTTAACCATAGTAGGAATAAAGAATTTTAACAGTGAACAACTTGTAGAGGATCTACATATAATGTATAGGTTTAGAATGATTCCACCAAAACAGAGAACAATTGTAGAAATTCTATGTGTGTTAACGATGCCTGTAACTCTGCAAGTTAAAGGGTAAGTTCTGTAAAAGTATTATTGGGCAAGTGATTCTTTATCATAGGTTTTTTGAGTTAAGAACTAGGGACTTATGCAATAGCTTATAAGTAAAGATAGTACTAATTAGGTAAAAGTTGGGGGAATGGTAACTTAGGTCGTTAAGGCACGTGTTAGACCCAAAGCTACTTATGTTTTGTTAATCTTAGCTAATACCTCCTTGTTTTACTTTAACATTCAATTACTTCAGAATTGCAAAAAAAAGCATGATCGAATATTATATTGGGATATTTTTGGCAGAATTTATAATCCTTGTGGATTTGGATAGTGATTTCATTCTTGCCATTTTCATTAAGGGATCTTGTGAATTGTCATCTATTAGTTTCTCTCATCATAACTCATTTTCATTTGAATTAGATGTAACGAAATTAGGCCGTCTTTCTTGAACACATATTGTTAGATTATTCATATCATTTACATCTTTTCATTGATTAATTAACATGATCATTTTATGATTTTTTGATTGTAGAAATGGATCACCCATTTGAGTATGTGATTATCGTTGAAGATAGAAATAAAAGGAGACCTTCACAGAAGTGTTCCCTTCAAAAAACTTGACTACTTTCGGGAGATGTTAGATGACGTTCATAGATAAGTGGTACATGCCATTTTGGGCCACATTCTCAGTTTCACTCTGAAATTAACATAATTGTTTTCATTGTATTTTTTCAATTTTATGTGATCGGAGGATATAGGACTTAGATGCTAATTTTGTCTAGATGGGAGTGTTTTTTATGATTTAGTTGGAAATAAGTGCATGAATGCTGATTTTGTAACGGATGCTGACAAGTGCAACTATAAAATTTTGCAATGTTTTGCATTGTATGAATGTTTTATTCAAACATTGAAGTAATCAGGGTTGAAACATAGTTGTAGTTTTATGATAGCTTGTATATTTATCAATGGAAAAATAGATTGTATACTTAACTACGCAAATTTGACCAATCTGAAAAACCACAGTTATACATTTAAAATGACAACATGTTGTTTTGTGTCCTCGATCTCACTAAAAAATAAAAATTGGAATGACATGTGGTTTTGGGTAATAGGATCTCAACTTCACTTGATCATATTGAACGATTACACGTGTTATATTTTTGTATACTCTATCCCCCAAAATGGGACCCTTACGTGTAAAATAATAGCATGCCGTTTTGTGTCAAGAGATCTCAAATTCACTCTAAAACTAGTAAAATAGTGTTTTGAACATATAAGACTTGTACATTTTGAACAGTTACATGTTTTTCTTTTTTCTAAACCTTATATCCTAAAACCTAAACCATATACCTTAAAACCTAAACCCTGAATGGCAACCTTCCATTTAAAATGATCAGATGCCATTTGGCATCACGGGCTATTGATTTCACTTCAAAATTAATAAAATAGTGTTTCGAACATCATATTTGAATTGTACATGTTGAATAATTACATGTTTTTCTATTTTGTAAATCCTATACCCTAAAACCTACACCCTAAATGGCAATCCTTCATTTAAAACGATCAGATGCTATTTTGGGTCACGGGGTATCAATTTCACTCCAAAACTAGTGAAACATGCTTTGAACTATCATACATGACTCGTACACACTAAATGACTACACATACTATGATTTAGATGCGATACTTCCTACTTACGTTTTTCTTTTTTGTCA